ATTTATGTTGGCAAGGATCATGGTTCAGAGGCAGTAGCATACTTATCTACAACTACTACAACAGCAGCGCCAGCACTAAATAAAATGCATGCTGGAAAAATGTGTGTGCAGGGTTTAAGAGTGTCGCTTCGTAAGAGAGTACGAAATATGAAATAAACATTTAATAAAGAGCGACATTTTTGGCATGCAATTGAAATAATGTGGCAAGTGAAACATTTGTGAATATTTATGAAATTTTTATAATTAGGGGTTTCATATAGTCTCATAAAGTTATAACGATTCGAAAGCATAGCATTGAAAATTGTAATTGTGTAAACTCATTTTTGCATGTAATCCAACAACAATTTTTTTAAACAAGTGTAAAGTTTTATAATTTTACGACTTTACAATGCTGTATGACAGGTTGTGAGTACCCCAAAAGAAAAAATAAAATATTATTGCTGGAAGAAATTACTGTTATCAACTTGTATATACATATGTATACCAGAATAAAAGCAGTAGCTAAACGTTTCCCTACATAAATACATAGTTTCCTTCAGCAGTTAGATTCAAAGCGGGAAGATCCTTGTAAGTGAAACCATTATAATTAATTATAATTTAGACATTAAGGACTGAAAACGAGTTTGCGACATCGCCGTACTCATTTCCTATGGATTCATTATGGGACCAGTAATCAGAAATCTGTGGATGTTGATTATAACCCATTATAAGCGTAATGCCCAACAGATTTTTAATTTCTGACGCATCAGTTCGTGCTATATTATAAATTTTTTTATTCTTTTAGAAAGCTCAATGTTTATTTTCTGTCTCTTATGTATTTAATTATTTATTTGTCGCGCTTTTAGTAGTTTTATCATCCAATTCCATTTATTTTCACATTGCCGGTACAGGTTCTTATAATATTTGATCTATGCGAATTTGGTTGTAGCTTTAGAGTTATAGGATATACAGCTGTTGACAAGTAATTAGAAACGATCCCTTTCTTGTAGGTGGCTGATGAGAATAATGTTACAAATTTTTGATATACCGTTATTTTTATTCCTAAAAGTCTTGCAGTGTTCATTTTAATCTATTTAATACTAAATTCACTCTGTTTTGTAGTTGTGAACTTAAAGTTATATGCACCAAAAATATCCCACATATGGATATTGGACATACATATGTGTAATGAAATTAGAACGAAATGTCAAGCTACACTATTGGTGCGCTGTCATAGTCTTATAACGTAAATTCGGAATTGATGGGAAGCAATATCAAATTGAAAGAGATAACGAACAAAATATCCGTACTAACTGAAAGTAAGCAAGTTTTTGTAATATCATTATTCTTTGTTGGTATAACATTTTCGTTTCTAATTAGTTGTCGCACACAAATTATTGATTCCACATGTTGAAATCTTCAAAACAAAGGCGAATTTTAAATAAAAGTTTTACTATTAGAGCTTAAGTTTAACATAGGTTTTAATAAAATAAGTAAAAATATATTAAATATACGTGATTTATTGGAAAATAGCGTAATTTACTTCAAAATAAGTGTCGTTTCTAATTAGCTGTCAACAGCTGTATATACATTAAGACTATTAGAGAGAGGGGTCACCAATATTCAGTGGCAAATTACAATTCTATATACAAACAACCGTTAGGTGAAAAAAACTATTGTGCTCCGTAGCATCATGTTGCAAGAATATAAAAATTAACCAGCTTTGAAAACTAGAAATGTTTATATATATATTCATATTCTTTCAAATTTTACAAATATTTGAATGCTTCACGTTTAGTTGAAATAAAAACTGGATAAATACTATTTAACTATTTAAAATTTAAATCTACCGTGTATTTTAAGTGTGGCAAATAGTTGCAATATTTGATGGTAACAGCGTCACCTATCGACTGTTAGCTGGCTTAACTCAATAAATTCGCATATAGAGCTCGCATGGYCTGTTCAACCGCTAATCGCCGCGTWTGATTTATTTGTGCCCTGTTAAATTCGCAGGGTKCTCAATATAACATTTATTCTTAGTATTATTTGTTCGAAATTTCGGTATTATGTGAATTCTAAATGTTATTCGACATTAGATAAATGTACGAAAACTAAACATATGCAAACATGGATATACCAGAGAACTTAAAAGATGTATGTATGTTTATATGTATGTACATACATATGTATATTTTATACAATTTATATT